TCAAAGACAATGCATATATTATCAGAGTACATTTTTTGTTTGCATTCTGACCACACGTATTGTGGTTAATGCAGACATGATTTCTTGTAAAAGGTTTCAGTTGGGTGTTTTAACATCTGCACACCTGCTTTGTTGCCAGAAAAAAGCGGAAACCCTTATTCTCGCCAAACTTCTTCTGTACCTCCTTAGCCAGATTAGTAACACAGCCATTCCATGGCAGCTATGACGGGATGGATTTGCCAAGCAGACTGATGGTTTTTACGATGGCTGAGAACTACGTTTATAATGCAACAGTCAATGACTCTGGCATTGCCAGCCTTGCGTGATATAATCTTTGGGGGTTTTTGTGTGTGTGTGGCCGGGCGTGGTGTTGGCCACCCACCCCCTCGTGTGCCGTGCCAGCCTTCATAGGTGCTGCTCGCTAACAGCACTTGCACCAACAGTCTGTTGAGGCTATACGGGAAATCTTTGTCTTTGTTGGACAAAACGGCCAGATCTTTTTATCACCCCAATCGAGGATTGTTTCGAGTCGATGGTGACTGGTGGTGATGATGTACGTCTGCGCATCGGAGAGCTGAATGTGTATCAGTACCGTAAATAAGACATTGTACACGCGCCGGAATCCCAGCGTGCTTTGCATATCAAAACATCAAAATGACGTCGGCGTTCTTGCGGCTTATTTTTAGCGTTTCTTCGTTGAGAAATGCCACGACTCGCTTGCGTGGCTTTTTCTATTTTAGCTGTCGGTGTGTGTTGGGGGGAAAGCATTGAGATTCGTCACCAAGCGCGACCCAAAGCAGAACATTGCTGGGGTTTGATCTTCCACGAAGCTGAGGGTCCACCCTAAATCGCATCCATTGCACAAACCCATGGCAGCAGATGCGAATACCTGATACACAGATGGAAATTGAAAAAAAAACTCTCTAGGAGTGGGTGCGATTTGTGGCCATTTAGATGAGACCCTACGACGCAATTCCAGATCCACAATTACAAAGGAGAGACATCACGATGCTGCTCCGGACACTGTTATCTGGGCTTGACCCACCTGAAATGTGACATTACAGTCGTTGCTCCGCACCTACATCAGCCGCCGTGGGAAAGCAGAAGAAGAAGACCGAGCGCCATGCGGCTCCAAGTTCAAGTTCATTTATTAGGTATAGCCCTGCGAGCCATTCGGCTCTTGAATCGGGTGCAACCGCAACAAACAAAAAACAAAAACATGAACAAGAATACATCTTATAGTGACTATGTGCAAACATAAAATCCAAGAAAAGACAGCAAAATATTGCAGAAAAAGCACCGTACACCAACACTGTGTGCAAAAATCCCATTGGGATGCAAGTCAAGTCCACGCGTCGCGCCAGAGAGCCGTCGTGGCTCCGCGCTTGCGCGGCTGCCGTAAACGCGGCACGAGGTTCGGCAGGTCCGACCCCTCCTCCGTCCCACCGCCCGGGTTCAAGTCCTGGTTTGAGACTTCCCCATTCGCCTCTGCCTATGATGATCGCTCCCCCCGTCCCCTTCATAGTGTCTTGAAAGAAACTTCACAGCTCATGGGATTCTTTGTCCAGTTACAACTAAAGCTTCTTTTATTGCCCATCATCACTTGGGCCATTACCAATGCCAACAGCTGGGATCCCCGGTCCAAGGGGCAAGCAGCGCTGGTGAAATTTTGTTTTTGGCCGCGCTTACGTGGTCGCCCCGCCGGACTCGCCGCGGAGAGATCGCCGGTTCAATCTCCCGGCGCGGCAGGTTGAAACCCCGGTGCGAGTTTCCGAGGCCGAGAGCGGCGTACGGGTCATGTGGGCGTCGCACCTTCCTGCTGTTTATGAGCAGCACCACCTTCCATTTTGGTGTTTGTTAATCCTACCTAATTTTAGCGACCAATTAATTCCACCTAGATTTAGCTTGGGCGGCGGTGGCCACCGCTGCACGTGGCTGCCAGCAATCGAGCAGTGTGGAGGCGGCGGGAAGGGTTAGCGGATCACCGCACACAGACGTTGTGAAAATCCCTTCCCGTGGGCATCAAGGAGGAGCCCCGTACCCCTGGCTCGCCATGGGATCGAGTGTTGCCCCCTCGCTCGCGTTGGTTTTCTCCGGGTGCTCTGGTTTTAGTCCCATCTTTAAATATAGAGAGGACCCTAGAGTTTGGGCGGCTGTTGCGTGTGCTCTCGCGGCGATTGTGAGACACGCGATTTTTGCACGAACGACAACGCTGCGATTTATATAAGCAAAGCTTTGCCCGTAAACCTGCGAGCGATGGGAAGGATACTTGAGTTGAATTCAAAGCACCACGCCACCCAGGCTGTGAACTGAGCTTATTTTTGCGCAAACATTTTTTACATATATAAATAACACTTTGAATATGAAGTGAAAAGTTTAATGCCGAACAACAATTGCAGCGCATGTAATGAATTTGGTTCTGTCTCCACGTACGACTAAAATTCATGTTCAGTCCATCGGCCTATTGGGCAAGCATTGAGTTTAAGCGAGCAAACTGTGGATCGGTTTCACCCCTTGTGGGTCTCGCCAGCAGTGTCAGGCTCGTTATAAACAAGCGCTGTCCGATCGCCAGGCTGGTTGCGTTCGCTATCGGTGACGCACGGATTTAAATCGTCTGCCGTATTCATCAAAGTAGTACTCATTTACTTGATACAGCAAGCATGCTGTGACGGTTCCACCTGAAGACGGAAGCTTGTGTTGCCTCCGAAACGTCGTGATTTTTATTTTATTTTTATTTAACTTTTAGTAATTTTAATTTTTAACCTACGTGACTTTACCGAAAAAACCCTAGAATATGAATCATTGCAGTTACGAAAGCTTCAAATCTAGAAAGTAGTAGGCTTTGTACCGTAGTAGCAAAATGCGTTGGTTTTTGTTTTGAATACGAGTGGCCCTACATGTGTACGTCACTCCACTGCTGGATGAGGGTCTTCCGACGTTATTTGACCATGCTTTGGCACACGTCCGCCAGCGCGGGGAGCACAGCGCTGTAGAGTACAAGGGCATAGCCCCGCAGCAGCCGAAAGCACCTGTGTGCTTGCATGTGGCGGTCGCCCATCCGAGCGCTATCCAGGCTTAATCCGGATGAGTTTCTGAGATTTTACGAGGTGGGGGCGGGGGGGGCAGCGCATTCCGGGAAATGTGGTCATTGTCCTATCACCTGCAGTGTTGCTTAATTCTTTATTTAGCTTTCTCACTGTGTATATAATTTGTGCACCTAGTATGGCACAAGCGCCGTGGTGACGTCACCGCCACTTAGTGGCGAACGGCGGTTGTTGTTGTTATGGGGAATGGTAGTGGAGCAGTTTGCCCGCTTCGCTACGGACCTGGCGACCAGAGTTCGATTCCTGCTCCCGATCACACCGGTGATGATTATCTGAACTGGTCCTGGGTCTCCCCTAGATCATCTCAACCTTTTAAATGAGTACCTGGTGTGGTGTTTTAACATCACCACTAGGCAGACAAAGGCAGCCGGGCGTGGTTCGTGCCAGACCAACCCCTTCGTGTGCCGTGTTGGCCTTTTGCCGGTGTCTCGCGAGCGGGCCGTACGAAAGGCCGTGCAGTGTGGGGGGGGATGTTTGGACGAGTGGAGAAGGTCGGCTATGCATTCTGTCATCTGTGACTAAATGCTGCCATGAAACATCACACTGCTATTTCAGTCAATTGTCGCGTAATTGCAGACGCCATTAGCGCCAGCTGTTTGTTCACATGAGGTCGTCACGGCGGGGTGGTGTGAGGGTGAGCCGAAACCCTTTTTCTTAATTCCTGGTTTCTGCATCGTGTGGACGCTGCCACGGTGGCTAGGAGATCTTAACTCCCTCGCCTGGTATGCAGAAGGTTATGGGTTCAAACCCGGCCCCTGACGCCTGTCGTATATTTGGAGTTTGCGTGTCTCTCCTCCCCGTGGGCATGTCGATATTTTCTCCTGGGTTCTCCATTCCCCCCCCCCCCCCACATTTAGAATCAACGTCACGCGTTTAGGAATATTTGGCTGCTATGAATTTCCACGCGATAAGCCACTTCGTTGAGCTATCATTTACGGCCAGATCACTTCTGAAAGAAAAAAAGCGCTTCTGAGAAGAGAGCTAAAAAGCTCGTTGGGGCCTTAACTGTCAAAATTAAAATTGTTAAAGCAGTAGTGGTGTGTTCATGCCCGCAGTGGAAACGTGAAATTTCCGCGTGTCGCAACAAACGTCCCCGGTGTGTTGCGGGCGAGGCGATTGCCGTTGTTTTTGTGATTATGACATCGGCCGTAATTACACTTTGTCACGCCTGTTCGTCAGCTCTATTTTCTAAAGGCAGCCGGGTCAACAGCTTCCGCAGCCGCCTGATTGTTTGTGACTCTCTTACCCTCGCTCGCTTTTTTCCCACTGCCGAGCCGAGCCGTGCTGAGCCCCAGCCAATACTTCCCCCACCCCCCCCTTCGGGAAACAAGGCTTAAGTTCTGAATGTCTGTTAAGCCCTGGATGTATGGTCCGCTTCGGTGAGCTCGTGCGTGTGTGCGCATCTCGACGACACGTGCGTACCTCCCTGTGTGCACGCCTCCCTCCCTCTCTGGGTAGCGGCGGGTGGCGCAGCAGTTAGCGCGCCGCCCTACGAGCCCAGCGAGCCGAGCTCGGCCACCAGCACCGGCGGCAATTATCTTAACCGGCCTTGGGCCTCCCGCTTAGCATGACCCCAGCCTCAAATGAGTAGCTGGTGCGGTGCGTAGTTAACGTCACCACTGGGGAGAAGGCGGCCGGGCGTGGTGTTGGCCGCCCACCCCCCCCCCCCCCCCCCCCCCCCGTTGTGTGCTGTGCCAGCCCTCATAAGTGCTCGCTAACAGCACTTGCCCCCACACCCCCACCACAGTCTGTTAGAAGCTATATTCGGGGACCGATTAACTACGTCCATTGGCCTCTCCCCATTTGCACAGCCACCACCACTGTCTACTCAGCAGGGTGTGTGTGCGCGCGCCTCTCTTCCCGGTCGTAACCCGTGTGTGTCTGTGCACGTGCCAGGACTCCTTTGTGTCGCTGTACGGCGCGCGCGGGGGCGGGCTGGCCCGGCGACGCCTTCACGGCGCCGGCGCCAACGACGACGAGCCGCTGGCGTGGCCCTCCCTGAAGACGGTCATCACGGGCCTGGCGGCCGTCGGGGCCTGCCTAACCGTCGGGGCCCTCTTCAACGTGCACAAGTGACGCGGCCCGGCCTCGTGCCGTCCACGCGGTATCGAGCCGCAACCATGGTCGCCGCCGGCTCCTCGAGCAACTCCACCATCGACCACCTCCATCGCTTCAAGGACCTCCACCACCAACTCCTGCTCAAGCACCACCACCACCGGCCACCTCAACCACTGCAAATCACCTGCTCAACCACCCAAACCAACGTCTCAACCACCCAAAGGCACCTCCTCAACTATCACCGCCAACCTCCACCACCACCTCCTCAACCACCTCCTCCTACTGCAACTGCTTCCACTGCAACTGCCACTGTAACAACTGGTCACCTCAACCACCACGGCAACCACCACCACCGCTGCCGCCGTATCCACATCCTCAACAACCACCACCGATACCACCGGCCACGCTGACCGCTGCAACTCCCACCACCTCCACCGCCACCACCACCGCCGCCGCCGCTGCCCTCAAGTAACGGCAGCACCAACATTTGGAGCCTGGCAGGCAAAACACCGATGGTGCATTTCGTTGGTTCGGCTCAGCAATGGGCGGCCATTATTTTTAGGATTGGGGTTTTTTTTTCTGAGGAAGGAAAGGTTAAGGAAGAGCGAGAGCGAGCGAGTGTGATTTCGTGGGGAGGGTTAAGCGTTAAGCGGTCGGTCGTCACGGCGTTTTTTAACATTAGACGTACGAGTTAGGGGGATGAGGCTTGCCGAGACGCTAGGCTTTGGTGATTGTGGGAGTTGGAGACGGTGGGGGTGGGAGTGTTTAGAGCTAAGATTAGAGGTTAGAGGTCATTGCAGAAGTAAGTTAGCAGTTAAGGGAGCTGCGGTTCGTAAGCCATTGGCACGGAGCTCACGTTTGTCACGGGCATTACGGATACGGTCGCAGTTGTAAGTGCCGCCGCCCTTGGGTGCTGGGGCCCAGGTGTGATTAATGCAAGGAATGGGGGGGGGGGGTGGGTTAGGTGGGGGGAGACGGAACGCTGCGCCGGGGGGGGGGGGGGCGGTCGGGGGGCGGGGGGTTTGATTGGCGAGCGTTCGCCGTCAAAACGTGGGGGGGGGGGGGGCTCGCACGACAGCGGCGAGACGGCGCGGCTGTACGTGTGGCCGTGCGTGCGCCCGCGTGCATTATCAGTATTCGGCGGCGAGCGCTCGGTCGAGGGCCAGGTTTATTTATTCATTTTGTTTAATTTTCTAAGAGACGTTCAAAGTAAAACGGGGGGGGGTGGCGGGGGGTTGGGGGGAAATTTAAATAAATTTTAATTTTTGTTTTCTTTTTTACGTGCCCACTCTGTCACATCTCTGCCGAGGTAAAGTAAAAAAAGAAAATGAAAAATACGGCATTCTGCCTCGTCGCTCGCGCCGCTCGCAGACCGGGACCCATCATCGCCGATGTCACCGGCACGGTGGGGGGAGGGGGGCAGGTGGGGGGTGGTGGGTGGGGTGGTTGGTTTACGGTGAGCGATTGCACCACAGAAAAGGGGACATCAATCGGCCTGGGATGTCATTACCGATAGGCCCATTACCGGCAAGGGACGAAATTAAGCTTTTATGAAATCCTGGACTTGCCGCTTCGGTGCCCTTAAACAATGGATAGCAGCTTAATCCCGAACAGTCGATGGGGTTTATTTGGAAGCCGCTCTGGCAAAAGGGAGCCGTTAGCATTTTGGCCAACCGGCCTTCCTTCGGAGGTATCGAGGACTTAATGACGTAATGGAGTTGTTGAACAAGAAACAATCGACAAACCAAAACTCAACGCATTTGTCAACCAATGCTGCGGTGTAAATTATAAATAAAATCGGCAACGTTTCGGGCAATGGCCCTTCTTCAGAGCGCCAGTTCCATTTGTTCTTCCGGCGCGTCGGTTAAAACGACAGTGCAGGTTTCTTAAACCCTTTCATCTCTTGTCGACGAAGCGATCTAAACGGATACAGCTCCAGTTAGCCAATTGGGTAGCTCGCGCTTGGTGTGGTAAAGAGTGTGGGCATTCCCAAGACATCCAGCCAGCGTGGAAGAGTAGGCCAAATGTCCTTTTACAGCCCTCCCCCCTCCACCTCCTCCAGTTCCAGTTAAGGTCATTTCCTCCAGCGGCAGTGGCTAGCTGTTGGTCACGGGCGGCAGGCGCCAAGTGGCGAGATGGGGCCATGCGCCGTCAGGGAGCAGCAGCCACCCCGGTCTCTCTCCACGTTGCCCGGCAATCGCGCAACTTTACTGCGGCCGCCCTCTCGAACTCACGGTCACGCCGCACGTCCCAGTGGGTTGACCGATGCAATTCCACCTTAATAACAATAATAATGAGAATAATTAACATCTCTCAACGGGGGAGAGGGGTCGCCTCGAGTGCGCGATGATCGCGATACGAAATAGTAGTTTTGAAAATTGACGTTTTTTGTTGTTTTAAAAGATGACAAATGTGTTCATCGATGCCAATAGTAATGATTCATGCGCGCGAGGATCATTATCTGGGGAGTCGGGCCCGTAGCGTTCGTCGTTTTTCGACGGAGGAAAAACGCTCCCGCGTTGGTTTTCGACGGGTTGCGTGTGGTTTGCGAAGCGGACGAAGTGCTTGGGCAGGCGCGGACCCTCGAGGTGCGCGTTGCGGTGCCGCGTCCTGATCCGAGGTGCGGCTGTCCGCACCGTTTTACGATTCGAGAGGGGAAAGCTGTCCACGTGCTGCCCAGTGGCCCTCGGGAGTCTCCTCGCGGCCATCGACGTGTGGCTCCCACCGCTCGTTGTCGAGCGGTTTTTGAAGCTGGACGTTGGTGCGAGCTGACGGTGTTTTTTTTTTTTAACCGTTGAGTTTTAGGGCTTGACTCTTGTTGAGGTGGTTTTAAAGTTTTGTTCTTTCTCAGCCAAGGGATTTTTTTTTCTTCCCACGATGCACAAGCGTAAAAACCTGACGTCGCGAACTTATCGCTAGATGACTCCTCCCGTGTGCGGCCTTAACAGACTGTTGGGGCACGTGCTGTTGGCGAGCAGCGCTCGATGAAACGGACCAATCCACGTCAACACAAACGACGTCGTATCACCGTTCTGAGATCCTGCCAGCGTCGAGTCCGTCGCCGCGGCAGCCGGAGACGAACGCCCAGGAGCTCTTTAAGGCCTCTCTGGATTTTTATATTTGTCATAATAATAAATTTGCCACAGAAAACGGTGCTGGCGCCAACGCCGACGGGACGCGGTACCAGCGCGCGCCGCTCGCCACCCGTGCACCGCGCTCCCGAGACCTCCGTGAGAAGACGAGCCATGACTCTGCCGCCGGTTTCGAGCTCCGAGACCATCGACGGACACGTCCCCCGCTCGCGACGCCGGGCGTGGCGTAAAACCACGCGGCCTGGAAGCCACCCACCCATCCACAACGAGACGGCAGGCCGAGCGGGCGGTCGCGCAATCGTGCGTGCGTCGCCCGGTTAATCCGCACGGAAGGCCGCAAGCGACCTAAGAGGATTGTGCCGCGACCTTAGAGGATTGTGCCAATCCCTCTTCGGCAATCGCGTGCCGGTCACCGGAGTGAGCGGCACAACGAGCACCGCCGTATTGCCGTCGTGTCCCAGCGGCGTCACCTCCCAGCAAACGGCAGCGGTTCACGACGGCTCTCACGATGGCTCTCACGGTGGGCCTCACAGTGGGCCCTCATGGTGGGCCTCGACTCATGCCGTTGTGTTTCCCAGAGACATTAAATCCACTGAACTGCACAAACGAACGTGCGCGCTCCGTCAAAAAGACGGCTGCTCTGAGGCTTTTCCTCTCGGGGTGAGAGAGGACGGGGGGGCAGTGGGGTTTAGGGAGGTCGGGGCGTCCCGTATTATGTCGCGACGGTGGACGACGTTGCCGACGCCTCCTCCACCACCACCACCACCACCAAGGCCTCGCCGGGGACTTTAACGGCGGCCAGTAACGATGAACCAGCAGGGAGCACGAGGGGAGGGGGGGCGTACTCGTGTGTGGATTGTCAAAAGCGTCGGTGTGACTCTCAAAATAATTTGCCTGTGCGTGTGGGTGCCACGTTCCCTCGCTCGTCCCTGCGAGGTGCACGGTGCCCTCTTTTTTTTTGTTCTAAATGGGCCGGAGTGGGCTATGTATTTTTAAGATGTGTAAAAAGTAAAAAAACAAAACAAAAAAATAACTAAAATCAAAATCACTCTCCTTGGTTGCGCGCCCACGGGTTTGGGGTGGCGGGGGTGTGGGGGGGAATATATAATGGGTCGAGATCGTTTGCAGTTTCCAATGCATGATGGAAGTTATTCCGTGCAATGCCCTTGCTTTGGACTGCACCGGCGTCGCAAGCGCAGCACGCGTGACGCAAAGCAAGCGCCGTGCCACACCTTGCCGAGGCGCGTGGGTCGATGAAAAACGCAGCTTCGCCCGGAGTAGAGGGTTAACAAACGAGCGAAGCACTCTGAAGCTCGCCGTCGCTCATGTCCTACGAGACGAAAGAAACCTTTAAAAAAAATGTGCACGCTAGGGGGCGCGCCAAGTTCGGCAACCGCGACCTCTTGTCAGACGGAACGGCGATCACGCGATCGTTCACGAGCCGCGGCTGTTGGATTGTTGTCGCAGAGAGGCAGCTAACAACAAAAAAGATATATTTAATGCGGCAAATGTGCAACCGTCTTCCCCGGAGCCAGTGGTGGAAATTCCTAATTCCCATGGCGGGGGCGAGGGGGAGGGATTGGAGAGTTTCTGTAGGATGCGGCTAATTGTCGCGACTTCCCCACAAATGAGCACTGTAGTCGCTTGGGGCGTGCGACGGCGATGGTGTGCCGAGTCTGCCCCCTCGGCCGGGATTTCAATATCGCGACGTTGACCGATTTGTTCGTCTTAGCGATGCCATGCTGAAATGAGGTGATGCATTATTTATTGTCGTGCTGTCGTTTCGCCTAAATTCCTGTTTGGAATACTTTTTGTCTGAGCAGAAAACTACACGTTACGAATGTCCAGGTGGCAAAATATAATCGTTCAAACGAAAAAAAGAAAAACATGTTTACCAACGCAAACAACGACCTATAAAAACATTAGTGTACAAAATAGTTACTTTGTACAAAAAAATGTTATTTAACATCGCGGCAGCTATAAAACACGTAACTCTAAACAAAATGTCGTCTCTATATGCTATGCAGTATATAACGTGTATTTATCGTGAACGGAGGGGAACGAACGACAAGGTGTGTGAAACAAAAAAATATGAATCCAAACGAGAAGGGGGGCAACATTACTGCATCGGAGTGACATGGATACGTTGCGCATAGTTGCGTTGTTTTGCTGGTAACGTAAGGGACCGCTGGAGAGAGATTATTCGCGAACGCGCGTGCCCTCACGCAAATCTTTAACTCTGCGGCAGGAAAATAAACCCCCCCCCCCCCCGGCTCTCTCCGGAGCACCCACGCGGGTGGCGATGTTGGAGGAGGAGGGGGGGTCTCTGTTGGCTACGTACGGCGCGAGAGAAGTTCTACGTAGCGCACGGGCGGACACCGCGAGTGCACTTGCAGCGACGTGTCCTCCACCGACATCTCGCGAAGATTTTAATAATTCGTTGACATTCCCTTTCCCATATTCTTAGGTAAAGTAAGGGACCGCTGGCTTTACCGGAAAAAAACCTAAGAATATGAATCCTTGCAGTCACGAAAGCTTCAAATCTAGAATTCCCTTCCCTCCCCTTGAGCCAGACTCCGGATATCTTCTCGCGAAAGCCGACGGAGCACAACGGTTTGGGATTCCTGCTTTGGCGTGCCAAATAGCCAGCGGGGCGTGGGGGTGGGAGGGGGGGCCTCGAGAACCACCCCACGGTTACCGTGAGGGCCCCAGCGTGCCCTCGAATGTGCCGGAGGGGACAAAGGGGATCTTCGGAGAGTGGCTCGCATCCTGGCGCCCGGGGCTCATCTTTTTTGAAAGCTCTCTCTCTCCCTCCGGCTCTCCCTTTCGCGCTCTCCGTTGC